TACAGCATACCCAGGTACCTCACTTGCTGCTGGGGCTCGCCCATCATTGACTTGTCACGGTTCACGCAGAACCCCAGGCGCTCGAGGAGGTCGAGGATTATGGTGCGGCGGGCGATGAGGGTCTGGGCGTCCTGGTGGGCATGGATCTGATCATCGATGTATCCTGAGCACCGCCAGCCCTTCCGTCTCCAAGTCCGCATGATCTCGCGTGTTAGCTTGGTGAATGCCCAACAGGCGGAGGCAAGGCCGAAAGGGAGTTGTGTAAAGACGTAGAACTGGCCTTGCCATTCAAAACCAAGGTAGCGCCAGTCTGCTTCGCGTACGTCCATATGGTGGTAGCCAGACTTCAGGTCCAGGGTGAACATGTAGTCCTTGGGGCCTAGCCAGCCTGGGACCTGCACGAGCGACTCATAACGGAACTCCGGGATGTGCAGGTGCTTATTGACTTCGCGTCCATCCCAGATGAGGCGGAGCTTGCCTTTCTGCTCTACGACACCCAAGGGACAGGTCATGAAAGGGCGGGACTGGCAAGGTTTGATGGTCTCTGACTCCAGCAAACCCTCGATGGCAGAAGACACAAAATCCCCGTGGTCCCGTGCAGATTGGTGATTCTTGCCCCAGTACGGCCGGGGGGGAGGTCCTGAGTGCCACATCGGAGGGAACCCTTGCAGGACCCAGCTCAGCACGAGCTGGTTCACCACTGTCGCCTTCCAGACCGCGGCACAGGCTCTCAAGCGCCCCCGCATCTTAGGCCTATCCTTGCTACCCATGCTAGGAGGTGTGGCTTCACAAGGCGGATCAACAGGCAAAGGTGCTGGGTTCTCACCTTCTGGGACCGCTTGTTCATTCCTCGAAGGGGCTCCTGGGTCTGGATGTGGTTCCTGGGCTTTGCGGGCGACCTTGGTCCGGGGCCGGGTGGGCTCTGCAGGGCCGGGTGCGGGACGCTTGGCGGTGTTCTTGGTCTCCGCTTGTGTGTTGTCTCGTTGGGCAGGGGGGGGCTGCGCGGGGCGAGGGGCTCTAAAACCCGCGGCAACGAGCAGTGCGCCCAGTACTGTGGCGGCCAAATTCTCTGCATTGCAAGAGACAAGAGATAAAAGAGGGGAAGATGAGTAGAGGCCGGGGCTCATGGCGACTGAGGCTACGAAACGGTGGGAAGCCGGCCCTCCTGGGATGACAGAAAAAACCGAACAGGCTACTCCGGGGCGACCTGCGCCGCAGGGGACGGGGCCACCAGAGCCATCGACCTGTTTGATGCCTCTCTGTCGTTGTTGGGTACATGCATGAAGAGGGAAACTCGGACGGAGGAAGGACAGGTCCAGCCTGAAGCCGGCCACCTGGGCCTGGAAGCCGCCATGGTCAACAGGACCGAGCCAACACGGCAATAAGGCCCCAAGGCCAATCACAGGCGCCACCAAGGGCAAGAGCTCGCGCGCGTTACAAAGAAACCTCCCTCCAGGGTACAACTTGGTCCGACATCTTCTAGCGGTGGAAGGTCTGGAAGAGACCGGATGTGCAACTTAGCATAACAAGTCTTGTCAAAGACTGGGCCAAAGCATACTCCGTTCCAACCCAATAATGTTTGTCGGACTTGTGGGCCCCTGCAACAACAACGACCGCGAACTGCACGGAGGGGCCACTGAGCGAGCTTAAGAAAAAAGGAGCGGGGTAGGATCGGTGCCGTG